TACTTATCAAAAATATTTTCTACCATAATACATTATTTTGTTAAATTTACTAAAAGAAAACTTATTTTGTAACTGTAACACAATTTTATATAACTATTTACAAAATGTGAGTAACCAAATAAAATTGTGTTGTTAAATTAAAAAGTTTACCAAATTTTGCTTATTTAACTGTATATTTTGCAATTTTAACAAAATTTTGAAATAAAACTCGACTTTTGTGAATAATGTTCTGTTTTTGTTATCATTAGTATATCTTTTCTCTCAGTGTAATATGGCGGGAATGCATCTCCCGTGCTCTCCTCGATTCACATAATACCGCGCGCCATTTCGTCGCACGCGAAATTCAGAATATTAACGTCGTAAAATCTCACGAGCTAGCAACTAATTCCGTGTCGTCGCTATGCGATTCGCGCTCGAGAGATCAGTGTTTAGACGTCGATCACGCAATCGGGCCGCGCGCAGTAAAATAATAGCTGAAAGATACCGCAGCGGCGCTACGTGTATGTATATGTGTGTATACGTATTATATTCCGCGGCAACTTCCAAGTGTAATCGATATAATTTAACTACGCGGAGAGAAAAGGAGACAGGAGAGGAGAGAGTGGGAGAGAGAGAGGATCTCCGGGGATTGTCGTACGATTGCGGCAGGCACACGCGCGGCACGTTTCCTAACTTCGGAGTCACCCTCCCTCGCGTGCTGCTTAGTCCGGGGGGTTCCTTTCGCGCGCAAGTTAACATAATGTAAAAAGTTTCCTCGCGACGGTGGATAACGCTCGCGTACCGCCTCCGCGCCGCCATCTGTCGTCGTGACGGAAAAATACTTACACCGCGTTCGTCGCCGATCGCGCGCGCGGTTTTGATCGCGTTCGACTTGCGACCGCGTTCCACCGTTGGTCGGAAATGAAATTTCGCACGCGATTCTCTCTTTGTATCTTCGGGCGAAAGAAGCACCGCACGTGAGAGAGTTTCCAAGCAACTGCAACGGCAATGGCAACGGCAACGCGAATGGTATAGCAGCGATCGTACGGCAACGCGAACGCGCCTCGTTACTTCTCGAACTTCGTCAAAAGTACGTCGTAAAAAGTTTCCATACCGATTCCCGCCGCCACACTGCTTACGAAAAACCATAAATTCCTCTTTCTCCCCCGCCCCGAGGGTGAAAAAGGGACGCGCTACTACGTAACGGTGGTAATTTTTCGAATTTCACCCCGGGTCGCGCACCGAGTCGCGCGCGCATTGAGCCTTTTTCCCATTAGATTGCTAAATCACCGAAGGAAATTGATGTTAATTGCGGCACAAATCCCTGCCGTTAACGTCTCGATTGTAACACGACTCGCGGAAATATATATTTACGTTCGCCGACTACAAACTGTGTCGGCCAATTATTTTATCCGCGCTCTCAAGAGCACGCTCGTTAATTATTCCTTACAAAGTGATATTCGTTATACTTTCTTGGAGGGATTAGTGGAGGTAAACGGCATTTTGAATTCCGCATGGACCTTGAAATTTGCTTTAATGTTATAGGAATATTACGAGCGAACTTAATGCGCGTCTCCATGTCAGCAAAATAGGAGCTTTCAAGCAGGCTGTCCCTTTTGATGACGTCGTGGAACCTACCCATTATCTCGAATTCTGTTTAGCAGTCTCCGACGGGGATTCCAGAAAGAAAGCGCTAGCTACGTAAACTCTTACTCCGATGCAAATGCAAGTAGGAATAATAACAACGTGGCTTAATGGCGGCGTCACTTTTAAATAACAAAACGAATTACTTAACGTCTTAACCGAAGGACGTAATGAATTTAATAAAAAGGGAGAATACCTCTCCCTAATACACAGCCGACATAACTTCTCAGTAATTCCAAGGGTTATTCATTGCGGCTTGTCGGAATTCTTATTTCAAGTGATATGTCAAGTGCATCGTTCAGCGTTCGTCAAGCCGCCGCCACCGCCGCCGCCGCCACGGAGGAAGCAACAATCAGCATCCTCTCGACCTGCGATCGGATCGCGAGGCCGACCTGAAAAATTGAATTTTATCCCCTTTTCCCCGACTGGAAAGAGAGACCAGCTCGGTACGCCGTAAATTAATTTATGCAAATCTTCCACGGGCATGAATTTTTTCAGCATTAATTTCCCCAGAAGCTACTACGCTTTGCGAGATACGGTCACACGGTCGAGGCAAGCCGTTACCACAGTAATTACCTTTCTACCTTCGTTCCGCTTCGTCTTTTTGTCTCCAAGTAACTATTTTAATTGCTTTTGCTTTTCTAACTCTGGATACTGCACTAAGTCCGGCTCATTTTATACGATGGAATGCTGATCCCTCCTCCTTCCCTCGGTCCAAAAACCCTCTGGTCACCATTGTCGTTAGCGACTATCCGTGGGGGTTATCCATGCAACCCTCCGTCCCGGGGGTCGATTTAAGGATGTTTAGTACCTATTTTTAAAATGATGGGAACTTAACAAAAATTTTACAGATTATTCTTATATATGTTCAGAGACTTATGACAAAAGTCGGAGTCGATTCACTGAAGCAATCCAAAGTTATAAGGATTTTAAGATGGTTTTATTGTGCAAGTCCCAGTCATAAGTTAATTTCTCCATATGACTAATAATTCAATAAAAACAAGTGTAATTCAATAAAAACATTTTGTATAGACTGTACATGTGCGATTATGTGACGTTTATGTGACATCGAGCGATAAAACCACTTTAATTTACAACAAATTTACCTGTGACTTTATGGAAAACGTGTGACCACATTGACTTAAATGGCTAAAATGACTAGAAAAAATGATGAGAATTAATTTAAAATTTGAGAGAATGTACCTTAGATATAAAAGAAATATTTTATGAAATAATTTTGATCAAGTACTGAATGGTTTAAAAGATATTGAATATAATTTGATCAAAATCGTCTATTATCCGAGTTGATGCGTGAAAACGTGGCAACATCGCACTGTCATGCTGAACGGCGTACGCATGCGCAGCACATGTACGCGGTTCTCTGATTGTGTGCGTGTGAGTTAGAATCTCGTTATCACTAATTCCCATCACATTAGAAAATAGTATACGAAAAATAAAATATATCAAAATTAGAATTTATTAATTATAATAATATCATTTATTGTCACTAAATTATTATAATAATTTATAATTATAATTATTTATTATAACTAAATGTTAATAAGTTTCACAAATTGCACATTCAAAAAAATTTATATTTATATATTGCAAAATATAAATATTAAAAAAACTGAAAAAATAAAACGAAATAAACTTTTTTAAAATAAAATATTGCAAATTATCAGCTAATCTAAAGAAGATAAATTAATCAATTAAACCAGTCGATTATTTTTCGAATGCTAGTTTTTTGTATTTGTAATGCTTTATTTTTTATTTTTTCTTCAATGAATTCCTTGATAGCTCCCACACCTGCAGCCTCATATTTATTTTTTAAAATATCTAGAGTAATCCCAGCTACTGCTAATTTTTGCCGAATCGATAAGCCTACAATATTTTGCATCAGCAACAAAGTTTGCAAATTTTCTTTAGTTTTAATTGCTAGTTCCCAATGATTTGTCTGCTCTGAGAACGAATTTGCAGTTTCTAACAAAGTGTTATTGTTTATTTTTAATTTTTTCAATATTTTGTAAAGAATTATGCAATCATTGACTGCATTGTGTGCTCCAATTTTTGGAATATTCAATGCATCAGCTAGTCCACTGAGTGTACATGAATCTTTTCCTTTCCTACTTGTTATTTTTCTTATAACCGACAAAGTATCTATAAAGCCATGAATAACCATTGAGAATTCATCAATTAAATTGTTTTTAGTGATTGCTCTAAATAATCTGGGGCCATCAAAAATAAGATTATGCGTTGCTATACAAATTTTTTTTCCAAACAATTGTAACCAAGAATGGAAATCTCCTAATGCTATTCTAATGGGAACTGATGATACTTTTACTCCATTATGCATAAGATCGCCATAGCAATTTACTAGACCATGAGCTTCAGCAGCCTTTGGTGAAATTTGTTGAACTGGATTACTGTAAGTTGAAAAAGTAGTTTTGTTACATTTCGCGGCAATTTGCAAAATATCGCAATCAGCTTGAAACCCAGAAGTTTCTAGATCTAGAAGGATGATAGGAATTTCACAAAGATCTTCTTCTTCAGAATCGGAATTATTTTCTTCATCCACCGGAACAGCAGGTTCTGTCAAAAGAGCACAATTAGTCTCATAAGTTACACCTTCCACATTTTCTTTTCTATGTCGTACAACAGAGCAAAGTTTTTTCAATTGCATACGTCTTTTTTTGTATTCAGGGGTTTTTATCAATTCTCGTCTCTTCAACAAAATTCTCTGTTTTTTCAATACATACTGAGTGTGGTATTTTCCTGGATATAAATTAATTCGTTTAGCAATGTCTTGTGTATATTTTTCTCTCAAATTTTTTTGGCCTATAGCACAAGCAAAACGAAAGTCAGCAGAAGCAGTCATGCTGTAGCATTTAGACTTAGGAGCTTTGCTGGCCATGGTTGCATTTAAACTTTCGTTTGCGTTGCTAGATGCACCGGTCGAGAATTTTTGTGCATTTGAGGCTAATTTCTCGAAGATGTTTTTAAGATCTTCAAATAATCGTTGATCCTGCAAACCTCCGGGTATAATTTTATGATCATAATTTTCTTTATTTTCAACGAAGTCGCACCACGTACCACATTTAGTGTGGTCAATTGAAGGCATGGTAAGGAATGCTCCGGATTGTATCTGCTAAAGCTACACTATTGCCTTTGTTCTGAGCTAGAGCATATGTGAAACATCTATGAAAATATACGATGCAATCCTTTGTTAACTCTTTGTGATTTTTTCGAATATTATACATCTTTTTTTTCACTCTTCCTGACGTATGATTAACATCAGACTGTTTGATGATTGGATGACTAGCTGCAGCCCTACATGCTGCAATGGTAGAGCTATCGTCGTCTCCTACCAATACTCCAATTTCAATATTTTCATTTCGAAGAATCTCACTTTCAGTTACAATTTTCTTGGCAACATGAGCCTCCATTGCCTTTGCTGATTCGTAAAAATTTTTTCGACAATCATGATCCGGTGTTGGCCCATCCATACTACATTTTTTACATTTGCGGTTGCATGTCGAGTAGTCTAAAACCAGTCCACTCAAACAGCCTATAATGGCTCCAAAACCATTACTATCATATTGTCGTCCTGTACCTCTGGTACTCCATCCCATATCATATGAGACCATAATTCGAACTACATCATTCCATGACACAATACTACTTTGTTCTTGTTCATCAGGTTCGGAAGAATATTGAAAATTAGGAGCGGATTCATTTATTGGTTGACGATGAAGGATAAAATTGGATTAGAAATTTTCTGGTCTATAAATAAAATAAGAAATACAAAAAGTATTATTTAGAGTTTATTTAGGGTTTTTTTATTAGAAAAAAATGGCAAAAAAATGGGTATATTGTATACCAATATTCAAAATAAAAATAATCGTATTATCTCTGTATTATCTCTGTATAGAAAATGTATATAAAATTATATTTACAATTATCTGTTGCGACCGCACTCACGAGCGTGGTGCAACTTCAGATCGGAAGAGCACACGTCTGAACTCCA